TATTGTGCTTCAATTCCCTTCACATCCACTTCAACATACTTCTGCAGGTGTGTACCGGGAAAGATATTACACCCTCTTTGTCTTCATTCAGCTTTCCAGATCCAATGACTTTAAGTCATGGAGAATTTGTTTCCTTAACATCTGATGTGTGCTTCTCCCTTACTAGTCATCTACGTTCATAAAGCCTTTCACTGGATCTTACTTAGACTCTTGCAACTAACTCCTAACATTACTGTCATCAACAGTCAATTAAAAGACAGTATCTATACTATATGCAAAGAATTAAACAAAATTGAATATAGGAGGCAAACATAATTTATTCTCTGGTTTCTCTCTAAGGTGCCTACAAAAACAGAAAAACTAAATTGTTTTCACATGAAACAACTAGAGAAATAAGATAGAGATTCCATACGCAAGTTGTAATCATCCCTTGCATTAACATGCTACTTGTATCATGTAGTTAGTGAATGCAGAAATTCAAGTTATATTACAAATGGTGATTTATTTTTACTGAATTATTTACATTTTAAAGTTTAAAGGTTTTAAAGAAGTGTTTTTGGCCTGAATTGTTTTGACACTCTAATGGCTCAATTTTCCTTTGTTTATAAACCAGTATTCTACATCTGCTCAATTCTTGATTCTGAGGAGCCCATATTTTAGGTATTCCCATTGATGACATTAAGCAGATATGCTACCTATATCCGTTTACTTTGTTCTTTGTAGATAGAATATAAATGATGCTTCTTTAAAGTCATAGTTAACTGCATGCCACTAAAGGCAAAAACTAATTCTTTTAGTCCTGTTCCTTTTTCTTTTCAGTGTAAATCCAAATTATGCTCTAGGCAATTTTAAAAGATCAACTCTTAAGAGTAGACGGAGGTTGAGTGTCTGCACACAAGTCCAAAAAACAGTCCTCCATCAGCTGCTGAAGGTCAGCTCAGGCGGCCTAGCGGCTGGAGAGCCCAGCGTGGAACAATGGCAGGAAAATGGAGTTCCCTTCATTCCTTAATTCACATGCAAGTGAGGTGCCAATCAAGTGCTGACAAGCATGGCGAAACCAAAATCAAAAGTGGGTAGAGGTACACTTTCAAAAGGAGCAGTTTTCACACATTTCTAAGAGCTGTTTTTAATGGTGGTTGTGAACATACCACTAATGATGTGGAAAAGGAAATAAAAGCAATAAGAAAAATACTAATTTTATATCAACTGAGAGGATGCAATAAGCTAATGAAATACATTTGCTAAAATTAGTTAATGTGTCCTATAAAAATATCAATGATTTCACTTTGACTAAGAAAGAAATCTGAGTGCAAATTGATGTATAGAGCACTGCAAACAGGGAAGGTGAGTCAAAATTTGAATCTGGGCACAGACAAGGAAGCTGACTCATTTCCAAATAAAAGAAAAATTTAAGCTGGCCTGATTTTGTCAAACTAACCATTATTTACAAAGACGAGAGCAAAACACTCTGAAATGACTGAGTATGGAAGCAATGAAATCACTTCACAAAGCGGCTGGTGAAAGGGATGACAAAGCTTAAAAACTAGCAGTTTTTTAATGACACTTTATTTCTAACAAATGAATTTAAATTTTCAAAAACTAATATAAGGCAAATGTAAGCTGCATTAGTTGTAGATGTTTTTCTAAAAGAACTTGGTAAACTGTTGATTATGACTATTATTTCTATCTATGACATATAAAACAAAATTTATTAGAAATTGAAGGCTTTGACAATGAGGATTTAATAAGTAACTTTGTATGTTATTGCTGTTTATTAGTGTTATTTTAAATACACAGAAAAAATAACATATGAGAGACACGTTATTTTGAAAATTATCAATTCATAAAATAAATAGTTCTTCGCTTTTACTTTAAAGACTGAATGCTAGGATTGCTACCAGAGCTGTCTTATCAATATCTATTTTTACTAGGATTGCAGAAGGTTTAGAGAATTAGAAACTTGAGATGTTACCATATTATGGGAATAAAGGAAGCAAAAAGCATATTTTCAGAATTAGTTTTTTCATTGTTACTATTTACTACATAAAATGGACACTGGTTTTGAAAACCAATCTCTTAACTACCTCCTGGATTCTTCAGGTGAATTCTGCACAAGATAGGGTATAATGATAAATTACGTTCTCAGTTTTGAAAAACAACAATTAGCAAAATATGAAAGCTCTACAACTATTTTGTACTTTATATATATAAAAGTGATTTTTCAGATATCTATTAGTAGTACCTTTAATTTTTTTTTTACCTTTAAGTTTAAAACTCTATTACACAGAATTTAATTTAATAAATGACAAGATATATTTTAGCACAGGTCCTGACTAGTAACTATTATTCAAACAATAAGCCCTGAAAGTAATTACATGTAATGTTAAAACTGTACTAGCCACACAGTTCATATTTAAAAGAAATTTTCTTAAAATTCATGATCCAAGAAAGAAAGTGAACTTGAATGAGGATGGTAGGAAAACAGTCTCCATGCATTCAAACGTGATCCTACAAACTAGGGCCATTTCATCCATAAGGGGGGTGTGTGCATGTGTATATGTATGTGTGTATAGAGTCTTGAATCAGGGATACAATTTTATGATAATTTTTTTACAAAATTAAACTTTACTGAAATCCAAACGATTTACTGTTTAATGTGTAAAATGTACTACTGAAACAAAAAACTAAACCATAATTTAAGATGTTTACAATTAACTTTTTTGTAAAATTAATATTAAATATTTCAATCATGGTAAAACAATTCCATATAATACATTTATGTTGGAAAATACTGAGGCTGAATATTTGTCAACATTTTAAACACCCTGAGTTTTCTTCCAAGAATAACAGGGAGACCAGGAAAGAATGTGATTCAGCTTTAGGCAAAAACAAAAGGTTTAAACATATTTCAATTTTTTGTGTAATATCAATGCTATCTTTCAAAAGTTCTTGAAATTAAGTAGAAACATAATGGCCTTAAATGTATTAATCAAGCTTTGTCAAAAATTTATGTAAAACTAAGTTATTTGTTTAGAGGAATTCTTTTCAGTAAGTTACAAACTACTTTCTCTTTAGCTTCCACCATCTATACACCTTCTTTGCATACCCCTATCAAAGTTACTTGACAAAAAGTAGCAAATATCTGAGGCTGAGATGATCGCCATTAATATTTTAAAACCTAAACAAGGTATATTACATTAAATAGACTTCTCGGTCCTGGTGTTGCCTGACAGATACGCGATGTGCCAGTGGTTATATTATATTCCTCCTCCCATGCATGCACCTCCCGCAGAGATAGCAGACTACAGAAGCTGACCCTTACTGAGACCATCTTGTCTCTCTGACAAAGCTCCTTTTTAACTTCTTACTTACTGGTTACTTCCTGCGATGGAGAAAAACTTTAGCTCAGCTTGTGATAATTTCACAGGCCCTGAGGACCCTGACCCTAATAGCCTCAAGGTCAGAAGTCAAGTCTTGTTCTGAAACATCTGTGTGCTTTATATTAAAGTGGAACAAAAGTGCAGAAATATCCACCAGTGTGTGACAAGAAGGACAGGCAAAATAAGACTGACACACAGGTCATCTGTTACTCTGGCATCTTAAATTCATTTTAAAAACTGTCCAAAATTCACTTAAATTCCAAATCTGATGTACAGATTTGATGTTAATTGTCTGAGGGTAAAATCAGGAAAATGTATGTTTCATGGGAGTTTTAAATTTGAACAGTATTGCAGGCCTTCAGACATATTCGAAGCTACTCTATAAAGTCATGAAATGTCATGTCTTATGTAATATAATGACTTACAGGAAGAAAACATAAGGTACATATATATCAGCTATAAATGCATTTATATATATTTGAATGGTTAAAAGAACTATTTGAAAACCAACATTCACATTTTAAAAAGAACATCATAACTCGTATGTTAGAGAGTGATCCTAAGATACCCATTTTGTAGTAAACAAATTCTGCAGAATTAAAAGCACTTGAATAAAATTTCTAAACATGAAATCAACTTAAGAAATGAATGATTTAAGTTATTTATAGATTTTAAGAGAGCACAGTATTTTTAAATTTAGGTCAGCTAAAGTATTCTCAGGTGTCACCACTATTTTTATATCTAAGTCATGTCGGTAAGCAGTAAGGCGTGGGGAAGTTTTGAAAAGACCATGGAAATATAATTTCCACGATGAAGAGCAATACATGGCAAAGTTTAGAAACATTAAAAATTAGACAACCAATGCTATGCTGGCTTTTAATGTCCACTTTAGGCTATATGGATTTAAAATTATCAAATGCACTTTATCAGACAAATAATTTTATTACAGCAATGGTACTTTCCTGTGACATAAGGGGTAATGAACATGCAGCACATTTTTAGGACTGATATACCTCATTAATCATTCATACCTGCACAAAGTGTGATCATTGTAATAATGTGGTAGAAGAGACACCAAATTCAGAAATCTTGATAATTTTTCTATTATGTACATATATCTTAACTGCAAGAATTGGATTATTTTGAAACGCAGAGATTTTTATGACCAAGCGTGGAGTTGCACTTAACAGTAGATTAACGGAATCTTTCTGATAGTTTTAATACTAATTATATGGATTTTGATCAAGTACTAATTTATAGAGATAGTATAGTCAGTTAAAGAGTCTCTAGAAATTTTAAACACTTTACAGATAACAGTGCTTCAATGATGTACATGTAAACAGGAATCACAAATATAAAATATATGGAAAGTGGAGCTATAATGTAGAAATTAAAAAGTGAAATGTAAATAAGAAACAGGCAAAAAGTTGTCTGATTGGCACTGAAAAGCTCTGCACAATAAAAGTATACTTTTCAACAACATGAAATTCATTTTGCCAAATACTTAATCTTCATCCTTTATAGAACAATCTCAAGTAACCATACCAAGAAAATGGGAGTGAAGGCGATAAATCTGTAAGGAGTCTGGAAATTAAAAACAAGAATTAACTGTGCACTTACCAGTTCAACAAAAGCAAGTCCTCCATAGCTGTGAGCAACAAAAAATACCTTCTCAGCTGCAGACTGAGCTATGAAATGGTCCCACACATAGACTGCATGTTCTTCAGGAGAGCCATTTTCCTATAAGTAAAACAAACATCATGTGTTACATACTGCATCTAATTATTATCATAGTAATCAAAAATTAAATTATATGCTTGCTTATGCAGCATAAGAAATATGATAGTGATAGCTCATTCCAAACAATAACAATACAAAAGAACAACAATGGAAATTTAAATTAGGGAATAAATTAGTATATTAAGCTATTAGTAAATTACTGCTAAACTTAAGTGCTACTCTAAGCTTCTGAAAGAAAATATTTAAAACAGGCACATTTTGAAGGGAAATGGCTCATTCTGGGTTTATCTGAGATATTAAAATAGATCTAACTATATTAGAATTGCACGGCATAAAGTTATAGTGGTCTTTTAAGGCAGTGTAACACTAAGAAATATCAGATGCGTTTCTGTATTTATATCTGAAAATACTTAGAGCATACATACATCTAAATTATTTGATTTTTAAAATTTTAGGTACCTCTGTAAATTGAAAATAAGGAGAAAATTAACAACAAATATTTTCAACTGACATTGTTAAAAACACACTTTTCCTGAAATAATTTTCCATATATATTTTATTTCCAGAACTGGGAGGATTTCTGAACATAGAAACCTGGGACTTTTTATATTTCTCTGAAGTTTCTGGTGTGCTTTAGTCACTCAGTCCTGTCTTGACTCTGTGACCCCATGGACTGTAGCATGTTCCTCTGTCCGTGGGGATTATCCAGGCAAGAATGCTGGAGTGGGTTGCCATGCCGTCACCCAGGGGATCTTCCCAACCCAAGGATTGAACCTGGGTCTCCTGCATGGCAGGCAGGTTCTTTACCATCTGAGCCACGAGGAAAATCCAATAAATATATGAATGTTGCTTTAATTTCAAAAGTTCTACAATAACTTCACTTTATTGTGTTTATTTCTATAGCAAACACAACTTGTGGTTAAACCTAAAATTCAGATAATGTGGTAAACAAAGAGCTAAAAAAATACAAACCAATAGAACTAAGACATCATGAAAATATTGTGTAAGAAAAATTCTTGGGATGCTTTAACACCAAAGACTGATTCCCTAAGAATGTCATAATACTAGATGATGAACACATTGATTCACCTTTTCCATCTCAGAAATTTTAAAATATTATATTAGGGTCCCAATGAATGCTTTCACTTGCTCCATAAAAGCTATTATTCCCCATGTCTATCTCCACCCTAGATTTCTCTCCAGAGCTCCAGACCCAAGGTCATTTCCTTATGAATGCCCCACAGATACTTCAAGCTCAACCAATTCAACACTTTGTTAAAAATATCCTCTCCAAACCTGTGTCACTATCTTTGCTCCCCACCTCCTGCTGAAATCTGAGCATCATCTTCTATTCCTCTCTCTCAAACTCCACATAAAATCAGTAATTAAAAACCTTTTGATTCTGTCCCCAACCTTCTCTTAAAGCCACACTTCTCTCCATTCTCATTTCCTCTGGCTGAGCCCAAGCTCATCCTTTCACAAATGGATGACTACAACAATCGCCAGTCCAGCTTCCCTGCCTCTAGGATTATCCTAGAGGGTATTACCCGTTTAAACACCCTCTCCTAACTGTAGTGAGAACAGCCTTTCAAAAGATGCTAATACAGACATGTCGCCATTTGCTCACTCATTGCTTAGAATTCTCCGAAGTCTTTTCATTATCCTCAGGACCAAGTTCAAACTCAGAATGACACTAAGGCCTTACAGGATATGACTTCTGCCTCGAAATCTATGTGCAAAATACGATGATCTAAAAGATACCCTTTCTCCCCACGAGAGAATAGAAAGAACACTCTCTGTGTTCCAACTGTAGGGAATGTCCTGTAATATCCTAATTGTGCCATACCTTTCTTATTTCTGGGCTGCTTTTGTTATTATTGTTTGGAAAGTGAACCATATGCTCTGCCTTTGCTTAACCCATAACCTTCACCTGCATAATTCCTATGTGTCTTCAGAACTCAAACTAACATAATTGCATCTGGCCCCATCACTTCATGGCAAACAGAAGGGGAAAGGGTGGAAACAGTGACAAATTTCTTCTTCTTGGGCTCTAAAATCACTGTGGATGGTGACTGCAGTCATGAAATTAGAATACAAATGCTTCTTGGCAGGAAAGCTATAACAAACCTAGACAGTGTGTTAAAAAGCAAAGACACTGCCTTGCTGACAAAGGTCCACAGAGTTAAGGCTATGGTGTTCCAGTAGTCACATATAGTTGTGAGAGCTGGACAATAAAGAAGTCAGAGCGCTGAAGAACAGATGCTTTTGGACTGTGGTGCTCGAGAGTCCCGTGGACAGCAAGGAGATCAAACCAGTCAACCTTAAAGGAAATTAACCCTGAATACTCATTGGAAAGACGGATGCTGAAGCTGAAGCTCCAATATTTTGGCCACTTGATGCAACGAGCCAATTCATTGGAAAAGATCCTGAAGCTGGGAAAGATTGAAAGCAGGAGAAGAGGGTAACAGAGGATGAGATGGTTGGATGGCATTTCCGATATGATGGACATGAACTTAGGAAGACTCTGGGAGACGGTGAGGGACAGGGAGGCCAAGTGTGCTGCACTCCATGGGGTGAGCTGGACACAACTTGGTGACTCAACAACAACAACAACAACTGGAAGGTCCTTGCAGGCACTTCTGGCCTTAAAACAAAGCAAAAACAATGCCCAGCTGTGGGTTTAACTGGTGATGGAAGTAAAGTCCAATGCTGTAAAGAACAATATCACACAGGAACCTGGAATGTTAGGTCCATGAATCAAGGTAAATGGAAAGTGGTCAAATAGGAGGTGGCAAGAGTGATGACATTTTAGGAATCAGTGAACTAAAATGGTCAGGAATGGGTGAATTTATCTCAGATGACCATTATATCTACTACTGTGGGCAAGAATCCCTTAGAAGAAATGGAGAAGCTCTCATAGTCAATAAGAGTCCAAAATGCAGTACTTGGGTGCAGTCTCAAAAATGACAGCATGATCTCCGTTCGTTTCCAAGGCAAGCCATTCACTATCACAGTCATCCAAGTCTATGCCCTGACCAGCAATGCTGAAGAAGCTGAAGTTTAATGGTTCTATGAAGACCTACAAGACCTTCTAGAACTAACACTCAAAAAAGATGTCCTTTTCATTTTAGGGGACTGGAATGCAAAAGTAGGAAATCAAGAAACACCTGGAGTAACAGGCAAATTTGGCCTTGGAGTACAGAATGAAGCAGGGCAAAGGCTAATGGAGTTCTGCCAAGAGAACGCACTGGTCACAGCAAACACCCTCTTCCAACAACACAAGAGAAGACTCTACACATGGATATCACCAGATGGTCAATACCAAAATCAGATTGATTATATTCTTGCTGCCAAAGATGGAGAAGCTCTATACAGTCAGCAAAAACAAGACTGAGAGCTGACTGTGGCTCAGATCATGAACTCCTTATTGCAAAATTCAGACTGAAATTGAAGAAAGCAGGGAAAAACCACTAGATCATTCAGGTATGACCTAAATCAAATCCTTTATGATTATACAGCGGAAATGACAAATAGATTCAAGGGATTAGATCTGATAGAGTGCCTGAATAACTATGAATGGAGGTTCGTGACCATTGTACAGGAGGCAGTGATCAAGACCATCCCCAAGAAAAATAAATGCAAAAAGGCAAAATGGTTGTCTGAGGAGGCCTTACAAGTAGCTAAGAAAAGAAGAGAAGCTAAAGGCAAAGGAGAAGAGGAAAGAACTCTTCATTTGAATGAAGAGTTCCAAAGAATAGCAAGGAGAGATAAGAAAGACTTCCTCAGTGATTAATGCAAAGAAATAGAGGAAAACAATATATGGGAAAGACTAACTATCTCTTCAAGAAAATTAGAGATACCAAGGGAACATTTCATGCAAAGATGAGCACAATAAAGGACAGAAATGATATGGACCTAACAGAAGATATTAAGAGGAGGTGGCAAGAATACACAGAAGAACTATACAAAAAAAAAAAAAAAAATCTTCATGACCCAGATAACCAGGATAGTGTGATCACTCGCCTAAAGCCAGACATCCTGGGATGTGAAGTCAAGTGGGCTTTAGGAAGCATCACTACAAACAAAGCTAGTAGAGGTGATGGAATTCCAGTTGAGCCATTTCAAACCCTAAAAGATGATGCTGTGAAAGTGCTGCACTCAATACGCCAGCAAATTTGGAAAATGCAGCAGAGGCCACAGGACTGGAAAAGGTCAGCTTTCACTCCAATCCCAGAGAAGGGCAATGCTGAAGGATGTTCCAACTACCGCACAACTGCACTCATCTCACATGCTAGCAGAGTGATACGCAAAATTCTCCAAGCCAGGCTTCAATACTACGTGAACCATGAACTTACGGACATTCAAGCTGGACTTAGAGAAGGCAAAGGAACCAGAGATCACATTGCTAACACCCGTTGAACCATCGAAAAAGCAAGAGAGTTCCAGAAAAACATCTACTCCTGCTTTTTTGACTATGCCAAAGCCTTTGACTGTGTGGATCACAACAAACTGTGGAAAATTCTTCAAGAGATGGGAAGACCAGACCACCTGACCTTCCTCCTGAGAAATCTGTATGCAGGTCAGGAAGTGACAGTTAGAACTGGACATGGAACAACAGACTGGTTCCAAATCGGGAAAGAAGTATGTCAAGGCTGTCACCCTGCTTATTTAACTTTTACGCAGAGTACATCATGAGAAGCACTGGGCTGACTGAAGCACAAGATTGCCGGGAGAAATATCAATAACCTCAGATATGCAGATGACACCACCCTTATGGCAGAAAGTGAAGAAGAACTAAAGAGCCTTCTGATGAAAGTGAAAGAGGAGAGTGAAAAAGTTGGCTTAAAGCTCAACATTCAGAAAATGAAGATCACAGCATCCAGCCCCATCACTTCATGGCAAATAGATGGGGAAACAACGGAGACAGTGAGAGACTTTATTTTTTGGGGGGGCTCCAAAATCGCTGCAGATGGTGACTGCAGCCATGAAATTAAAAGATA